AATTAAATAATGAATGTAATTTCTTAATGTAATTAAATAATGAATGTAATTTCTTGAAGCTGATGTAATTATTTCATCATTACATACAAGCGCAAAATATAATGCTCATGACATATTCTTTGGCGTAACAATTAGCTACAAGTTCATAATTTAAGATATAAATAACATTTGATTATAATAATGCTCAGAGAAGCTAATTTGTACTAATTAGATGTATAATATAATTATGAATGCATGTTGTCATAATCATCGAGAAATATTAATGTAATTTTGTTTTCCTTGTCAGTTTACAAATCTTTCAAATAATGTGCACTATTAAAACTTATCCTTAATTCATCATGTATTTAAATATCTCATGTCTCTGTTCAGATTTTGAAATATTCATAATTAATGAAATAGAGACAGGAATTCAATTAAAATGAATTGTTTTCAGATTTTGAAAAAGTACAGATAATTATTACTTATACTGCCATACATATTTGTATTGATATCCTTATCTATGATCAACAACGTAAATGTTTAATGTGCATGTTAAATGCTAAGTAAATTTCGATATAATATAGATTTGCTACAATATAAATTGTAAAAATATATTTTTTTAATTTGCTTACAGCAGTAATAATGTTTTCTTCCAAAAAAGCCGTAAATAATGATATCAATAGCCAATATGTGCAATATGAGATCTTTTGGTAATTATTATAGAATATAAATCTGGTTAAATATAGGCCTTTTGATGGCATTGATTAATATATGTTTTATATAATTATCATCTTATACATCAATACATACATATTTATATAATTGTTTTAGGTAATTAGGTGTAAATAATGTCAAATCAGTTTAACTGATACATCAACGTCCATGAGCCACTACTAATAGAATGGAATTTTGATCATTAGTGCACATTACATTACAGTACATAATACATATTAAACAAATATAAAATGTTAAATGTCAAAGGACCTGTCCTCTCCCGCTTTATCAATAAATTAATACATTATTTAATACAATTATTTCACATGCTGCATAAAGTGGGAGACAAGACTTTAGCTAAATTTTACGATATAATTAAAATTAAATTAGACTATATGCATACTTAAATAAATGTAAAAATTTTTACAATAAAAATTAATGAAACTTCATAGGTATCGGTTTAAAATAATATCTCATTATACATAGAAAGTAAAACTATTATATTACATGATATGCAAGAACAAAACTAGTATTATATATAATGATTAAATATAAATAATAATTGTATATGTATAATATATTAAGAAAAATATCTGTTACTTTTGAATTAAATCTACCAGAAATACATTTAAAAAATGATATAACTTCATTTATATATTTTAGAAGAATTTGTAAACAAAGACTTTATTAATGCCTTATGATTTTCGTGATGTATAACATTTTCGTCTTACAATAATCCTATTTATTATGTGTATAAGATTATTTTAACTAATAAATACATTAATTGTCACTTGTTACCTCACGCGACATGCGCAAAATTAAGTTGTACAAAGTGTGTTCGGATTAAAATGAAGAACAGAAGTAGGGTCAATTCAAATTGGAGAAGGATGAAGCGGTGGACAGATAAGCCCCAGCCCCTAGCAACACCCACCACCCTGCGCACTGCCTTGTCCACCAGTTCCTGCTAAACCTCCAGGACTTGTTGGCGAATGTTGTGGTCCAATCTTAATGCCGTTTGCCTGAATGCAATTTACAAATATATAATGCAAATATATAATGTAAAAAAAAAACAAAAAAATAAATATACTATATGTTGTCACTGCTCATTTATCAGTTATTTCTTATCTTCTTTCATGATATGAGATAAACAGTAAAAAACTCATTTGTAATAATATATTTAAAAAAATAAAATATAAAATCATGGAAAAGTTTTGTTCATTACTCATATTTAAAGTACATGTAGATTAAAAGAATTAATGTCATACCTCATTATTAATGTCAAAGACACCCTCCTGTATTTTTTCATAAATTTCTTTTGCTGTATTGATGAACGCTTCTTCTACATTGGCTGCAGTCTTGGCACTGGTCTCCATAAAGACAAGACCGTGCTCCCGTGCAAAAGCCTCACCTTCTTCTCTCCTTACTTCTCTTCGATTATCTAGATCACTTTTGTTGCCGATTAACATGATAACCATATTAGAATTTGAATGTTGCCTTGCATCCTCTAGCCATGTTGTAAGATGATTAAAAGTTTCTCTACGTGTAATGTCGTATACCAACAAAGCTCCAGCTGCTCCACGATAATATGACCTTGTTATAGAACGAAATGCCTCTTGGCCTGCCTAAAAATGTAAATTAAGAAAATAATTAATAATAATAAATTTCTATTAATTATAGAAAATTAAAAAAGAAAGCATATAATTATCAGAATTTATATTTCAGTAAAACATTAAAATAAAAAAAAAATAATTTTTTACAGAATGAAAATATCTTTTCAAATAAGTTTAATAGAATAAGAATTTAAAGCTATATAAATGTCTATATAAAAAGTATTAATTTAAATATCATTATTAATATAGTATTTATACTAAGTATTTATACTGATTGAGAGAATCATGATTCTATTAATAGCAAATATCAATAATATGAAGCTTGAATTCAACAATATGAATTAAATAATATTACAGTGTCCCATATTTGCAGTTTAATTTGCTTGCTATCAATGGTAATCATACGAGCACCAAACTCGACTCCTATTGTCAAGTCGTGGACTGGCTGAAATCTTTTATCCGTAAATTGAAGAAGAAGACAAGACTTTCCAACTCCTATATAAAAATATCATCGTATTTATATATTATAATAATTGTTAATTAGTAAGTTGTAATAAAATCTCATATGTATATTCAAATTAAATACAAAATTTCCCTATACATATTGTATTCAGAATATGCTTACATGTGTGCTTATAATTATGTGTGCTAACATAATTATAAGCGCGTTCTGAATATGGGCAACAAAGAGAGTTACTATTAAAGACTGTCGGTAAATTTTCGTGACTATCAATAGGGCCTAAGAGACTCAGGGATAATTGAAGAACGATGACGTTACTGACAATTAATAAAAATTTATGATTATTAACATAAATATTTCGATCATATATTATTAAATTCGTGATTTTTTATTATGTAAATGCTGTACAAATAAGTATTTTTTTAATGTTATAATATCTTATATGTTGGCAAAAAATTACAATTCTTTCTCTGCAATTAACATCTTTATGATAATCAAACTTGGGCGGTAGTCAAAGTCTTACTACAAATGCTTTGAAGCGTTTAATGGACCAATTAGAAGAAAGAATTTTACAAACTGACCAATTAAAAAACTTCAAAGCGTTTGCAACATCGCATTGACTATATCCTTGGATTAAATTAAAATCACAGTTTTAAATAAAAATAGAGTATTATTAAGTTTTAAACATATATACATGTCTATAAAACTAATAAATTATAATATTAGTACTGTATTATTAGTTTCTTATTTTTAGTCCTGGTTGTTTCACCTTTTGGTAAATTTTACCTATGAAATAAATCTGGTAATTCGCGCATATGATTGAGTAATTTTGCTATTTGCCTAACAGAATAAAATTTACCAAAAGGTTGAACAACCGGCCCTTAATCATTTAAATTTTAATAGGCACACGAACTTTCATAAGCGCCGATCGTCTTTAATAATATCTTGTCGGTGATACAGGCCACAATGTATAACAACGCTATATATAGACGTTAACGTGGAAATTGACAGGAAAGTTCGTCAAATCAAAATGTATTTGACAATCATGAAACAGTACAATAAATCAAGTAGCAATATGATACGAGACGAGATCTATTTAAAATTCATACTGACATGTGACAAATATATTTAAAGGAAATAAACGTATGTTAAGGGAATTTCTTTGTCGGTGGCTGCCTCCGTAAAACAAAGTTATTCTTGCATTTACGAATCAGCAATATCGCGTATCACGGAAACGAAAACAAAGGGTCTGTCACGGACGACGTAGAAGATGCATGGGAAGGGGGAGGAGAGCAAAGATTTTTTTTTTGCGGTAATACCCCGCGCGCACATCACGTTATTTACCTGTGTCTCCGATAATAATATACTTGAACAGGTACGCGTACGACATTTCGGCGATACGCGAGATTGACGAGACGAGTAGACAATCTTCTACAGCACCGAGAGACACACCAGGAAACAGAACTTTCTTCCTATGACCGTTCTCTTATCTCTTCTGCTCCAACATGACGTCACCAGAGAGAAACCTGAGAGAGGACACGATGGTCCAAAACCTATAATCGCAAAATGCTGCCGCGCACTACTGCCCTCTGACAAAATGGATATAAAATACATAGCAACGTACACTTTTCTTATGATACATCGTCTACTTTTCAAAGCTGGAGATGATAAATCGATATTTAATTCATATAATCGTGCTACCATGACCATATAATTATCACATTTATAGCATTTTCGGCCCGATCGATTTGCACCAACTTAGAAAATGTTTTGCTATTGATTGACGTTACACACTCTACCAATAGTAGAGTACGAAACATCATTACTTCAACCTAGAGGTTTGTTCGCATCGAATGTTCCAACATGTTGTAATATCTCAGTTAGAAATAATTTCTCGAAAAGATGTCGTTTCGATGTCGAAAATAAAAGTTGAAAATTTTCGAAATTTCTATTGATATCGATGGATTTTTGGCTCCAATTTTGATTAATTTTTAAAAGTTGGAAATAAAATCTTGAATTGATCTAGTCAGCATAAAAATATACTACTAGTGTCACTAATAGCGTAAGAGTGGTGGAGAAAATTTCATTAAAATTTCATTGAAATTTTTTATTATGAAAATAAGTATTATTGATTAGTATTATATTTCAGAGGATATACGACAGAGGATATAAAATTATAATAAAAAAAATTTATTTTATGAATTTGAGAACTAATTTTATGATGCATCCATACGCGGTCACTCATCCGAATCCGAACCTCCATTTACCATGCTTCTGTGATCGTACGGGAATTGCTCCTTCGAAAAACCATGAATACCTATAATGCTAATAGATGTATAGTTGTAATCTGTTCAAGGATGTTGTGAAAGAGGCGGAATACATAAAAAAAATATAATTATGTTAAATATAATAGTAATGTACAAATGATGACATCTATATATGATAATAACGTTTTAATAATATTGTTTTTAATAATACTATAAAATATTATTTTTATTAGAAATAATAATTATTAGAAATAATTGCTCTAATGATATATATTTACTCTAATAAATTTCAAATATTACAATTACTGGAAGTAGTTCTATGTTACGTCATATGTCGTCATATACTACTGCAGTAATAATACTGTTGGCTCAGCATTGATACTATTACGTATAATAATAATACTGCAGTAGCAGTGACACTAGTAGTATTTTTATATATCCAAACTTATATGATAGATCAACATTTAAATTTCGTTAATTTAAAAATCGAGATCATTTCGAGTTAGAATTAGTTTAGCTAGACTGATAGAACAGATAATATTTTTTCTTGATCTCATGCTCATTTATAATAAGAAATATTATTCCCTGAAATTCCTCAATACAAAAGTGACATAATAAGATTATATTAAATAAATTACAAAGTATAAATAAAAGTAATGTTATTCAACAGGAATAGAACAATAAAATAAGATACAAAGAATTACTAGAAGAAAAGATGACTTTATCGACAGTTGTAAAAAATATTTCGATTCATATAAAAAAATTAATATAAAAAATCCTACAATTTTCTAAAAAATTATAAAATTATAAATTCTGAAAAATTTTAAGAGTTTTTATGATTAGAGCAATATTGCAATTGTCGAAATGAAATTGAAAAAAATGTCGATTCGATTTTTGAACGAAAATATTCAAAATATAAGATGACGTATCACAAATTTATACAAAAATATTAAAAATGTATCAAACTCTCATTGCACTATCTACATACATACAATTTTTTGTCATTCGAAAATGTTAAAATTTCAATGCAAGTTTTGAATCGACAACTTTTTCATAATGATGTCGAAACAACGTTTTTTTCGAGAAACTATTTCTGATTACTCCCATTATAGCTCTTATTCATTCCAATGCGCTTGATAGAGTGAGTAGGAGCTGTGGTAGGAGCTTGCAACGCGTACAAACCTTTTGTTAGTACAAACTCGGTCGAGCCGAAAACGCTATTATTTTCCTTACATTCGATTGTAGTTGATCAATTTCTTATGGTTTAAAGCTTAAAACCTATTATAGATCGGACTTAAGCCTTGTATCCACGATGTTAGAGCCATGGAACACAAAAAACTTAAGGCAATAAGACGTAAGCAATAAAGAAATCAACATATTGGATTGGCATTTATGTTATGGCCTTACGGATCTACTGATTGATGAATTCGCTTAGGATGAAATCACACAGTGCGGAAAACGACTGCGGAATAGAGAATGTCATAGAAGCAATCAATCAGCGTTAATTTGTGTTATTCCGAATACTGATTGGTTGTTTCAATGACATTCTCTATTCTGCAACTCTTTTCCGCATTGTGTAATTTTACCCTTATTGCTTACGTTTTACCGCTTAAGTTTCTTTGTGTGCCATGGCCCTTAGACCGGGTTCACATCTTGATGGAAAAGCGGATGCCAATCGGAACTCGCAGTAATAGTAGGTACATTTCGCTTGTCTATTTCTGTCTTTCCACGAATTCTGATTGACTTCCGCTTTTCCGCTTTTTTTTCTGTTAAGGTGTAAACTCGGCCTTAGAAATTTGTCCGAATTCTCGATTCAAATCCTAGAATAGACATAATTGTACTTTGACTATAGATAGCGTTATTCAAATATGTGATGTTAGCTGCCCGCAAGTCGTTATATAAATATTATAAATCTCAAAGGATCGTTCGGACGTGCTTTCCTTTACATACTTTCCTTTTTTCAACGAATTTAAGAATTTAATAATTGCATTGATTGAAGACTCAGCCTTCTCCAACTGAAGAAAAAGTCGTAATTTGTATCAACATTAAATTTACAAATGCAATTTTAATTTTTTAAATACATTGAAATAAAAATAATATTTTAAAATAAATATAATAAGTTTGTTTCATTTGATACAACAAAAGTTTAAAATCATTTAGTTAAATAATTAGAATGAATTACGCATGAAACAGATCATATCCAGTGTCAATGCTCCTTCAGGTCAGAGTCAATTTTAATTTATTTTGATTATTCGGCAAATATAATAGACAAAGCTAAAAATATTTTTAACTATTAAAAATTATTAATATAAAATTAAAATACGAATTGCTTTTAATTGAAAAGAACTAATGTACATAATCTAACCTATTCATAGTGTTAGTTGAAACATGAATAATTCAGCAAGACAAAATTGAAAAAGTTGCTGATTCTCACAGCTTTTGCTATGTGTGTGGAACAACAAGAAGAGTAAGAAATATAAACGGAGAATACAACAATTATAAATCCGACAACAGAGTGGGCAAAAGAATGGATTATACAAAGAAAATTCGAATTAAGAGAATCTGTTCATTTAGCCCTCAATGACCTTATCTATGAAGATATAAAATCTTTTTATAGATTCTTCAGAACGGATTTTCAATTATTCAACAATCTGTTGGATAAAATATCTCCATATATTCAAAGATAAGATACATTTATGCAAAACTGCATTCTGCAATTCAAAGACTTCCTTGACTCTAAGATTCTTAGCTACTGGGGAATTTTTTTACAGTGGAATTCGCAACAGTACCGGCTTGTACTCATATTTTATTTCTGAAATAGTCGGACCTTGTACTTAAAGCTTCCTTAAATTTATCTTTAGAAGCTCAGCAGCCAATGAAATAATTCGTAGAGTATCTAAAGATAAAATTTAAATTTAAGGAAGCTTTAAATATAAGGCTGACTTGAATACGAATATTAGAATCTACAGTGATGTCAGACATGCACTCGCGCATGCACGTTGTTTACAGCTTAGTCTAGTTCGCGCAGTGCTGTAGCCATTAGATTAGGTTAGATTAGGTTAGGTTAGGTTAGGTTAGGTTAACATCATTAAAGTAAAGATGTGGACCGCGAAATCTGCGCGCCAAACAGGACAACAGGAGGTGCAAGGAATCCCTAGAGGAAAATAGAAATAAGGTAAAGTATTTTAGATTTTAGATAGAAAATGAATCGCAATAGGGTCAGGAAACAGGCCCAAAAAAAGATATGTATCCGAAAATTTAGATCTTGGTTAGACGAAAATATCTTTAAAGATTGGCAGAGAATGACAATAAAGTTTGGTGTTTAAAAAAATAAAATTTGTAATATTTCGCTTAAATGTTGTCGATATAATTTATCAAGGCATGCCGAATCAGCTTCTCATATAGATAATGTAAATATGTAGAAATTGATACCTCACACAATAAGAGGTATAATATGTCTAATTTTTTTATATTTGTAATTCTATTTCTCTTTGGAGCGACTACGAACGCCAATCTCACGAACGATTAGATATTCTACTGCGTTTTAAACTGCGCGAGTACAGGGCATGTCTGGCAGCACTGGTCACTCTACAAAAGTACTAAAAGGTGAATATTTAAAGATAACTATTAAAATTATAATTTTTATTTTCTTGTATCGAATATATGCTATGGATATTTAAAATAATATTTACATACATAATAACTAATATATATAATATTTTAGGCCTGATTCATAGTCCTTCAGATCTCAAGTCTCCAATATCTAAATTCGGATTCCAATCTTGAATCCCCAAATTGCAGTGCTAATGCTTAATCATGAACTTCAGTTTTTCATGACTGAGCAGGAAGTGTAAGAATAAAATAAAAAGGTGGGTGGTGAGGTTACAAGTAATCAAATGTAATCAACCAAAAATCCATTTTTTTTAAATATGAGGTAAAGAATCAAAATATTTATAATAACCTTGGTCAAAAAAATTTCGCTGAAATTATTGTATTTTAGAATATTTCAGCGAAATTGCTGAAAATGTGTCGAAATTACACTAAAAGTGAATTTTTCAGTTAACATGTTGAAAATTTGTTGAATTTGAAGGAAATTTCTATAAAATTTTATTTAAATTTCTCTGAAATTTTGTTGGAATTTTTCTGAAATATTCATTGACATTTCTCTGAAATTTTAGTGAAAATAAAATTTTCAGCTAAAAATCACTAAAAAATTAAACTGAAAATTTTCTAAAATGCTGAAATTTTGCTGAAAAATATTTCAAAACGTGAAATAACTTCAGCGAAAAATTTTCCACCAATGAAGGTTAAGTAATGATATTTAGATGTACAAATAAGCTACTTAGTTATAATTCTCTTTGTCAAAAATTCCTTACAATAGACCGTTGCAAGACATCTTCATCAAGCAAATCAGAGCGGTCGTTTTCAATATGTTCAAGTACTAGTACAAAGATGATTACTGCGGATAACATAAATTCTCTCATACAATATATAGAAAAATAATTGTATCTGTTAAGATGCCTTTTCATGCACAGCATGTTGCTGTGCATGTTGTTGTAAAAATATCATGCCAATTTTTCATAATTGCTTCCGCTGCATTTGCTGTGCATGAAAAGGAATAACAGCAACAGTATATGTGTTAAAATTTAATCTCAAATATATCTTTTATTTGCTCAGCTCGAAAATTTAAAAAGCTAAAAAACTTGTGATTATATAGCAACTGTTGCCATCGGACCCTTGCAGCATTGAATAACCCCGAATTTTAAGCCTTAAGCCATAAGAAATGGATAAATCATAGTTTTTATTTAGTTTAGATTATTCTCCTCGAATTCGATTGTAATTGGTCAATTTCTTACAACTTAAGGCTTAAAACACCTATCCCTTGTACATCCGGAGTAATGCTAAGCGTTTTCCAGCAAGGAAAATATAAATGTGAATGCACTGAGTGCATTCAATACTACGACCGTTCACTGAGCACTCATGAGTTTTTATATCTGTTTGTCTATATTTTTAATTCTAACGGAATAACCAATTAGATGCAAGAGCCGAATGCTCAGTGGGCGATTGTAGTACTGAATGCACAGTAATTGCGTTCACATCAACAGATTCAACAGTTGAGCGAGTAGCACTCGCTGCTATTGATCTAAAAATATAATCCAATCAGCACGAAGAAAACTTCCAACAGTTGCAAAATAAACGTTCTGCTGAATGCAACTAATGTTAGTAATTGAACAAAAATGTATAGGTAATTTAATATGCCGCATCTCCATAATGAAAAATCGTACAAAGTAGTCATATAAGTTATTGTATTTTTAATTTGCAAGAAAAAGTTCATACTTTACGATGATTATCCCGACATTTGCGAAAAAAAATTTATTGGACCCATAATATATGTGCAATTTTTTGACGTAATACATTCTTATTTTAGAAAAGATAGTGAGCAAAAATAAGAATGAATTTAAAATTTATCGAAAGCTTCTTAAAGTATAAACTTCACTCTTTGAAAATGAAAAAAACTACAATCATCATTCATATGTGACCATTTTTCACGTTGTGAGTACTTGAAAATACTTGCATTTTTGATATCTTTATGCAAATATTTGATATAAGTTGCAATAATTTTGTTAACGAGTACAATATAAAACAGGCGTTTATTAACAAGAAAAAATTAACGATGTACTTTTATCTTACTATTTGAACTTAAATTTTTTCGTATAACAACTTTACTTTTCGGATGAAATACAATAGTGTAACTATTGTCTCCGTCAGTCAAGAACATATGTTCTTTCAAATCAAAACTAATAGCACTGTCTGCAAATCCTTGTATGTCTAAACTAATCCATGGTAAAGTATTTCGTGATAATATATATTGTTTTAGAATATTATATACTTCTTGAATCTTTTGTCGTGTGAAGAATCCAGTCCACTGTAAATACTGCACCTGTCTAACATGTATCGATGGAGAAGGGCACTGATATGTATTTGCACAATTATCTTCTCCCTTAGTAGATCTAAAAAAAATGTTACTAGCTGTCATTGTCACATTCCTGCGGCATTCAATCATGAAAAATCATTTTAAAATGTAAATGAGCATACAGATCACCATCAATGCTGAAGATTCCCAGCCATTCAAAGAAATCGATATCAGTGTTATTACATGTGTCCTCATAAGTAGGTATCGTTAATGAATATTTGATTTTTTGAAAAAATTTCTGACAACAGCGACAAACATTATAATTACGTGCGTAAAACCATGCTGCTATAGATGACGGGCACATACTGATCTCTGAAATATTGAAATAATTATAAGAAAGCAATGTGTGTGTATATATATATATATATATATA